ACAGCCCCAGGCCTGCCGGAAAAGCCAGGTCTTCGTGGCTTTACGGAAGGCTGGAAGAGTGGTGAGGGTCCGGATCTCTACGGGGAGATCCATAGGGCCGGAGCAGCAACAGAGAAGGCCCTTCCCCGGGACCTGCCAACCAACATTGACCGGCCTTATATATTTGTCTTCTTTGACCCTTAAATTACATGCCAATGGAGTAGATAATCTTCTTTTCCATCTTTTTCTATCTTCTAGAACATTTCAGAGAGGATGCTGCTGCAGAAATAAATAGGGATGCCACCAAACATCTCCTGGATCATTAGCTCAGGCTCAGAAAATGCCAACAAATGGCCTCAAAAGAGGATGCTCTGAGCCCCGAATTTCCTATATATTGTCTAATTCGGAGTCCAAATAAGAGAGAATTCCTCAGCTAACCATCTGCCTTTGCAAATGTACAAATGTCATTTCTGAAAACCCATAGCCATTTCCTGGGCATGCTTCAGGGGTGATATTCAGCCAATTCTGACAGGTTCTGGAGAACTGGTAGTGAAAATTTTGAGTAGTTTGGAGATCGGGCAAATAGGCTGGCCCCGCCCCCGCTGCCTCTCAGCCTCCCAGATGATCTTCTTTTGTTGCCCTGAACAGGAGAACTGAGCTGAAAAGCAGGTTAGTGGGGTGGGGAGGGAATGGGGATTTTGCAGTATTCTTCCCTGCCACTCCCACAAAGCCACGCGCACAGAACCAGTGGTAAAAAAAAATTGAATCCCACCAGTGGTGTGCTTCCCTTCTGTACTCTACAAGAACACAGAAGCTAAAATAGACTTTCAACATCCTCTTTTCAAATGTTCTTTCTTCGGAACTGTTTCAATATAAAATGCTAGCATTTGAGCAACGTGTGGATTTTATCGTTAATTTTTAAAGTGGCAAGATGTGCCAAATAATGGGGTTTCTGTCAAGAGGCAGAGCAATTGGTCTTTTTTTTAAATTTATTTTGGGGATGATCCAAAAGAGAAGCATAGACCTGAATTACTTGACTGAATTATTTGGGGAAGATGAATTACATGACCTTTTGGGTTTTCCCGCCACTATGTAAGTGGGGAAGAACTGGGTTCTTTGTTTCATTAGGGGACAACATAATATTTCAGTGGGTTCAGAGGTAGTATTCAGCCAGTTCTGGAGAACCGGTAGCGGAAATTTTGAGTACTTCAGAGAACCAGGAAATAGGCTGGCCTCCNGCAAGCCACTCCCATCTGGTCACATGGGCAGCAAGCCACTCCCACAAATGAGGCCACACCCACAGAGTAGGTTCGAACAATTTTTGAAACCCACCCCTGTACTGACCCTAGAACCTCCTGGGCTCTCTATAAAGGTTGGGCAGTGTTTTTGCTTCTTCCTGTATGGGGTTTCCAGTCAGTGGGAAGAAAGGAGATCAGCTTAGCTACTGCGTAGGATGCTACACGATTGACTTCTTTCTCCCATACTCTTGATCATGAAGGCATTGGGGAAGGTTGGGAGAGAGTTCTAGATCTCCACTCTGAGCGAAGTCCTGACCTGGTACATTCTGGAAACCTGGATCTAAATGGGAAGAAAGAAGTTGAATTAGAATCCTATCCAGACTACCGTAAATAACTGTTAGTCCAGAAACCACTTGTCTCTCTGACTGCATCCTCAATGACTCCAGGTGGGGTATTCTTTTTCCTAAAGGAGCAGATTTGTGCTTGGAAGTCTTCCTAGATTCCTGGCTCCTTCAAGGTAGGCAGGTGAAAGCAACAATTAGGGTGGCCTGTGATGTGCTCCAGCTGATGTTGTCAGTTGCAATTCTTCCTTCCAGAAAAAAAAAAGAGCAGGAGAGCAGAAGACAAAGATTATAGCAGCAACCTAAATGCAGTGATGAGATGTAAAACTTTATATAAGAGCTGGCTCTTTTTGAAGGTGTGACACAACTGGCACAAGCACATTTCTAACGTCACAGAGATGCTATCATCAAAAATGCAATATTCTGACATCTTCCATTTGCTAGCTGAAAAGTAAACTATCCACCCACTGTGGGACTTCCGTTATACCAGTACTATATTCCCAAGACTAAGGGTGGAAATATGGAATAATTTGACTCAGAGTAGATCAAGATGTTCCTGTGTTATTAAACCAGGAATTCTGTGTCTTCTTTGTCTCTTCTTTGATAGTTGTCTCATCGTTTCTGTTTGTTTTTGAATGGAAAGCCTATGTTAAATCCAAGTAATGCCTGGGCTGTTCTGTTCTTGAATAACATACAAAGTGTTTGTTCTAAAAAATGAAAAGCAAAAAAAAAAAAAAAGTAAGAATAGTAAGAAAAAAGTGTCAGGTTGAGACAGTTTTATTTCTCTAACACTTCCTACTTTACCAACCAAAGTTAGCATGGCTATCAGACAAAGAGGAGAACAGAAGGAAATAGCTGTTTTTATTTAATTAGAGTCTTTAAAGGCGGTGGAGAAGTTGTAGCTCTTCCCCAGTTAATTTAATTAATTTCCATTATTCTTCTTAATAAGGATTGAATGGGATGTTATCTGTTAATTCCTTCAAAAATGTATTTCTGTAATCTCAATACCATTACACTGACAACTAATGAACAAAGGAAAACCATTTTAAAATATTCAGATTTAAAAACTACTACAGCACACATTCAGTATCTATAAACATTTTAAAAATTCTTAACCCAGAAAAGATTAAAAGATGATTAAAACAAAACATTTAAACACATTCTCCAGTCCTTGAGGAGGTTTAACATGAGATGTCCTTTTAGGCTTAGAATGAAGGTTGTGCTTAGAACCAGATGACCACATCATCCAGTAAGCATGTCAAAGTGGAATTGAATTCCTGTTTGTTTGTTTTTTAATGAGATCAAATTACAAATCTGGCTTCTTGTTAACAAAAGTTGAATGAATAAGTTATTATTAGCCCCTTGCGACAGAAAGCAGATACCCTGCTTTATCTTTTCATACATTC